CAGGACCAACGAGCTTGCTGGCTGATCCTGTCTTCGCCAGAGTGTCCGCCGTCTCATTGCCCCTTATCCCAGCGTGCCCCGGTACCCATATTAACAATACCGGATGCCTCGCTGCGAGGCAATCCAGAGCCCCCCTGTATTGCAATACAAGACTCGAAGTAATGTTACAGGCACTTAGTGCTTTCATTGCAACCTGGCTGTCGGATAAGATTGTTATTCTTCTCCTAAGCCCACCCTCCTCCAGAATGTGAGTTACTCAAGCCAGAATCGTAAAGATTTCCGCCTGGAAAATTCTGGTGTATCCACCGAGACGCATAGATAGCCTAGTTCTAGGCCCAGAGACCCCAGCACCTGAGCGCTCTTCGGTGACCGAGCCGTCTGTGTACCAGACCTGCCCGCTCACTCCTCCCTCGTTGAATACTCCACAATAAACTTGCGGTTGAAGCGATATTTAGGGGTAATACGATCACCCCTGCTTAGAAGGACGGGGTCCTCCCTTTGCAATTCGACTAAGATGGCAGTATGCCCCTTGACAGGATTCAGGAAATCCCAGATGCTCTGACTCCACAGTCGATGAGCGACTACTCTCGCTTCACCGCGGATCACCAGATCCAACGGTGGGAGATCCAACAGAGCTTCCATTGCACTCAATGGCGTTGTTCGCACTGCGCTTGTAATACTAATTCAGGCCAAACGCTGAAATTTATTGAGTTTGGCCTTAGTTGTCTCAGTTCTAATGCAAGGCCACCAGACCAGGGAGCCGTACAAGAGATATGGACGTACTATCGTCATGTAGAGCCAGTATACCACTTTGGGTTTAAACCCCCACCTTACACCGACAACACGTCTACAGGCCCACATTGAATTGCGAGCCTTGCTAACCTTGTATTCAGCATGCTCTCTCCAGTTCAGTTTGCAATCCAGGATAATTCCCAGATATTTCACTGACTGGGACAATATTAATCTAGTCCCAAAGAAGGTCGGCATGACCAGCCCGTCAAGCCTTCTTCGCCTAGTGAATAGGATCAGATAGGTCTTTTCAGCATTAACAGAAAGATCGACTTCCCTACACAACGATTCCACAGAGCGCAGAGCGCCCTGCATAATTTCCGAGACTGTTCTACAAAAACGTCCCCTAACTACTATGCTTACGTCATCAGCATAGGCTTGCACGTAGACACCCATACTGCTGAGCCCAACGAGGAGTTCGTTCACCACGATACACTACAGTAGGGGTGACAGAACTCTAGCTACGCTCACGCTGCAGCTTACGTCATTCAGCATATCTGTTGCTGCCCGACCCTCCAGAGTAGATAGGACCCAATCTATTAGGATTGATCCAACCCCATGTCCTAACCAAGGCATGTCTGATAGTGTCGGTTGTGGTGCAATTAAATGCACAGTCAATGTCCAAAAAGGCCACGAGTGCCACTTCTAGCTGATCTAGAGTCTTTTCCAACCTACCGACCAGATTGTGTAAGGCCAGATCAGTCGATTTCCCAGCTTGGTATGCAAACTGATTTGCATGAATGTCACACCTTTCCAGCGGGCCATCTCTGCTGATCACTATAACTTAAACCGTTAGGGAACCCTGATCGCACAGCTGTCGCCAACCTGTCAGTGATCGTGTCCAAGATTCCGCAAAGCAAATTATGTTCTTCTTTTACGTTATATATGTAGGCGGAATTCACACGACCGGATCCCAGACACAGTCACCGACAAGTCAATGACCACTGTATGTACGAACAAACCTTTGATATAGCTATATCCTCTTGTTGTTTCCGCTTCCCCTTAGGTCAAATACCTGTATGCAGGGTGTCCGGAAATTGAAGGATGATCCTGCAACTAAAAATACGTGATACGATGACCTACTGTTTGGTCAATAGTCTGATGGCTTTCGAGATGTACAGCAATCAATTTTTTTAGCAAAAATCGACACACGTATACTTAAATTGTCACATATATCGATTTTTTTGAGCCGGGTGTGTTTCAGATTATTTACAACTGATTGTTTCATTGAAATTACGCCTTTTTTTATAAACAAAAAGGAAATCGTGGTGTATTTTCTGCTTCCTTTTTTCTAATTAATTAATCAATTAATAAAACTCGATAAATAACATCAAATGATGAGTCACTGCAAAACAGCTGTTTAGTGGAGTACAAATTTAGGCCCTAGCTCAATAAAGTGGAGAGTAGGGGGGTTAAGAGTGTCAGTGACTGAAGAGGGATTAAGTCACAAATCCCCGAGATGTTAGTCGGAATTTGTTTTGCTTGACCACCCACACAAAAGAAAAGAAACTAATAGCAATGACGTAAACTAATTAATTGTACATAGAGCCAAATAAAACGAGAGAATAAAAATCACAATGTATACTAAGTGACATATAAATCCGAACACCTAGTTTAAATGGTTTTATTTTAATAAAATTTTGTATAAGTACTTAATGAAGCATAATAAGTAAATGATAAAAATTTCAAAATGATTGCACTGCTTTAAAGCCCTTTGACCTTTAATAATGTGTGGATGCACCCTGATGTGCTACGCATTCTCCAACGCGCCTAGGCATGCTTCTGATCAGGTGGTCAATGTCCTCCTGTGGTGTCTCATTCCAGGCAACCACCAACTCCTCTCGAAGTGCTTCTAGAGTCTGAGGAGGACGTTGCAAATTGAGCAATCTCCTACCCATCATATCCCACACGTGCTCAATTGGGGATAAGTCGGGAGATCTTGGTGGCCATGGTAACAATGTGACATCATTATGTTGAAAGAAGTCTATTGTGACTCTTGCAACATGTGGTCGGGCATTATCTTGTTGGAAAGTTGGATCTGCCAGGGTGTCAAGATAGGGTAAAAGATGGGGTTCTAGAACTTCGTGGATATAACGCTGCGCGTTCATGTTACCTCTGATGAAGATTAAAGGTGACCTGGAACCATAAGCTATAGCACCCCAAACCATAACTCCAACAGTGTGATGAACATGTCTTTCAACAAAAAACTGTGGATTCCTCCTTTCACCACGTCGCCTTCTAACTCTGGCACAACCATCGTGCATGCCTAAACAAAATCGAGTCTCGTCACTAAAGACAATACTCTTCCATTCCTGATCCCAGAGTGACCGTTGTCTGCACCACTCAAGGCGATTACGTCGGTGTTCTCGATTTAAAGGGAGGACCCAGTGTGGCCGGTATGAAAACAAGCCAAAACTTCTCATTCGTCGGTAAACACTTCGCACGCCAATAGGTCTTCCGTGTTCTGCACACCATTCATTTGCAATGGACCTGGTAGTGGAGAGGCCCCTTAAGGCCAATAATCTTAGGCGGCGATCTTCACGGTCTGTTGTTCTACGGCGGCGTCCAGTGCCTCTTTGCGTACGGCCTTCTCGAAGCCATGCCTGACAACACCTAACCACAGTGTGTACACTTCTTTGGCCGAAAAGAAAGTCCAGCTTCCCGAAGTCCCACTATACGGCCCCTATCAAACTTACTAAGTTGACGAAATCGTACAGGTCTCCGTACTCTAGGCATCGTAACCGATCGTAAAGGATGTCAAGAACCAAAATCCGCCAACGTTGATTCTTTACTGCGGCTGAAATAGTCATTTTTAGAGCGTTAGTGAATTAAAAAAAAGCAGTATAAAAACCGGAATGTCCAACTGATAAGGCTGAAAATTTTTTCACTTGTTATTTACAGTAAGATAAATACATTCACCAACTTTTATTAAAATAAAACCTAAACTTATCTGGATGCAGCCGAGATGACCTCAGCTCACAGCTCAGGCTTCTTGGTTAAAACCAGTGGGCAGTAGTGGACAAGGTCGAAAGGAACTTCATAAAGTATGAGCTGTTTGCGTCGCCTTCAAAATTTACCATGTCAAAAAACCCTAGAGAGAGAAAAAATGCTTAAAAATCCAATCTTCATTCTCTTTGTGAGACAAAACTACTAATTAAAACACTCGAACTTGAAAGACCATGTATAATATACAAGAAAAGCAAAGCAAAGGGAAAAAAAGAAAAATGTAATACATCAACAAAAAGTTATCTCTGGTTTTAAAAAATTTATGGCAGCTCAAAAATCAAAATCATGATCAATACAATGCAGTAAGCTCAATAGAAGGTGCCAATATAGGCACTGCTCCACATTTGAACACGAAAAATGCCAAACAAAATTAAGTACACTCTAAGAATTTCAGTGAACAATAATCAATATATAAATATATGATATTTTACCTGTTTACATCAGGGCTTTTTTTTATTAAGAGAAAGGGGTGGTTTCTCATCGAAATCGGCTACAAAGCAGCTACAAGACAGCTACAAAGCTGGAGGAATGCAGATGGTGGTTTTCCTCAATGCCTTCCCACTTGGACATGCATTAATGCATGTGGTCAGATGGTATAAATAAAAGAACTTGCCGCTGAAGAGATTAAAATCCCATAGAGATGGAGAGAGTAGCACCCAAACCAAAACAAACAATTAAACGTAAGCTAGGTACAAAGAACGGTGCTACTCCATAAACTGGTGACTGGGGCCCAGTATCCCAAAATCTGGAAATCAAATGAAGGGCCGATAATACACCCTCTCAACCAAGGATACTGCAGGAAAAAATGACCGTCATCAAATTTCCGGTCTTCCGTCAGTCAGTCAGTGGACTGCCAATCAATGTCAAAAGTAGAAGGGCGCTCCACAGATTCGAAACCAAAATGTGTGAGAAAAAATAATAAATGTCCGCAATCGAAGCTACCTACATAGATATACATATTGTGTTGTTTCCCAAAACAACGTTCTAGGTAAACCCTCTGTTGCGTGACTCGGTGGACTACACAGTGGAGCAAGTCCGTAAACATTCAAGGCCACGGCTCGCACTGTGATAAAAAAATCAGCGCTAACTTTTCGTAAACCCAAAATTACACTCTAATACGAGGGATGTCTTTTAAGTTTTGCATATGGAAATAAAGAACACGGTAGGTAGTTTTAAATGACTTTATTGTTTCTCGAAGTATTCGCCACGAGGATTAATGCACATCTGCATGCGCACGAACCAATTTTCGAAGCACTTATTCCACTCGTTTGCTGGCAGATCCAAAACGGCATTTTTGAATGCGTCAACAGCTTCTTCTGCTGACTGGAACCCTTGACCACGCAGTCTGTTATTAATTTTCGGGAAAGTAAAGAAATCGTTAGGACTTAGATCGGGACTTTATGGAGGATGGTCCAATAATTCTACGTTTTCTTGCGTTAAATAGTGCCTTGTTTTTTGGGCTGTGTGTGAGCTTGCATTGTCTTGATGGAGGATGATTCTTCTTTGGGGGTTGATTTTTCGAAGCTCGGTGATGACTTTTGGCAAACAAATGGTGGTATACCAATCCGCAGTAACAGTTCTTTGATGATTAAGAGGGATTGTTGCAATATGACCCGCTTTTGACACAAATGTCGCGACCATCTTTTTCGAAACACTTCGAGAACGGATGACTTTTGTTGGCTTTTCTTCACCTTGGAACACCCAAACAGCCGACTGTCGTTTATTTTGTGGTTCATAACAGTAAATCCACGATTCATCACCACTAACAATGCTGTACACATTTTTTGAGATTCCGGAATTTGACACCAATTAACTAATTTTCTTACTCCTAATTCTTCATGTAAAATTTTTTGTTATTTGAGGTCTTTCAGATCTTCAAGGACGCCTCAATCTCGCGATATGTCACATGTCTATCTTCAAGCATCGACGTTTTCCTGGGTGACTACCGTTTTTGGTGCACCCACCCTGGGATCGTCGCTAAGACTCACCCGTCCACGTTTGAATTCTCCATACCAACGGGAAATTGTCGACTGATGTGGCGCTTCGTTGCCGAAAACAGACAGTAACTCAGCAAGGCATTCTTGTTGCGATAATTGTCTCGGAAAGTTGTAATAAATTATGGCGCGAAAATGTTCTCGGTTGAGTTCCATTTTTCTAATGACTTGGTGACACTTAGAAATTCACTGTAGTGAGAACACTGCACGTATCGTTGTGAAACTTTGAATTTAAGTTTACTAAAGAGTGAGGTTAAGATTCAGTACTGACGTTCGATCCGCGCGGCCTACTATGTTTCTATATGCAAAACTTAAAAGACATCCCTCGTAAAACCCGAATCAAAATTTGTTTTTCTTTTACCTCAAAATTAATCCGTGTACCTAGTGAAAAAGCCTAGGTGTTTCCTCTTAAACTAATACACTTCTGTTTTTCTTTGCTCTTCTCCTTTTTTCTTCTCTTTCCCTTTCTCTTTTTCCTTGACATTGTCTGGTTTCTGGGCAACCAGGACTGACAGATTCGACTAACGTACATTAGACAGTGACAAATGGGCAAAGGTCCTACGGACCGTCCAGACAAACAAATGAAGAATAGTAACGTTCTAGGTAGAGAAAATCAGTTTACGAGGGACCAAGGATATTTTATGAAGAAATTTCTGAGATAGTCATTAATAAAATATTATAACATTAGTGTCCAAAAGATATGAGTCCCTAAGAAAGAAAGATATAATATGTGTGAAATTTTACATTCCGGATTAGATAGTTTCGGGCTTAATAGGCCAATGGATTATGAAATTTGTCAAAATAAAATCATCGCAAAGGGTGTGGCCTAGGAATCAGCACTCTGTCATTAATAAAGAAAAATTCAAATTACTGGTAAGTGATCAAAATGGTAAAAGAAGGTTACGTGATTTTGGCACGTTCTTGTAACGAAATACTCATGAAAACTAATGCAACATTTTAATGAAAAACAATTTTTATACGTCTAACTTTGACAATCAGTAATAATAAAGAATGAAATAGGATAACCCTGCCAAATGCTTTAAAAAGTTGTACATTTAAGACGATTTTCAGAATGTTCTTGAATATCAAAAACATGCGTTTATGATATGAATAAGAAATAAGGGACAGGATTGATCTTGTAATGGTAAGTTTTCATTAAAAATTTTAGACTAGAAGTTCAAAGTGGCCACCATTGGCGCTTATGCCCTTCACCTTTTAATGAATGAGATTTTTAGTTTACGATTTGCGATATTTCCTAACAGGCACATCAGATTTTTAAACGTAACTGCGTTACAGAAATCACCTCTGTTGTATTGACCATATCATTACGGCAACTCCAATAAAAAAAATTAAGCGGATTTAGATCCGGAGATCATGGTGGCTAATAGATAGGGCTTTCGATCCCCCTTCATGGACAATGTTAATTCAAGTGATCGCGGACAGGCCGAACGTGTGCTGGGCAACCGTCCTGTTGTAGCCACATTTCTCGCCTTTTCGATATTGGCCGATCTCCCAACAAATTTATTAGGAAGTAGATTTCCCTCGTTAACGCACCTGGTAATTTCTATGAACCAATGACGGCCGCAAGCATTATACGTGGAAAGGATGTAGTTGGTATTTTGGGGGCTTGTATGAGCTATTTTCCTGATTGAAATGGATGGATCATTGTCTAAAACCTCCTCGTCGACATCCATCCGCTGCTATTCTTTTGCTAGTAACTAGAGAGCGGATTATATGCAACATAAAAAGCTTGAAATATGCATCAAAATATGCATCAAAAATGGTTAAAATATGCATGAAAGCGTCAAAATATGCAAAATTGAGTAACAATGAATCAATGTTTTCATACTTTTCAATTTAAAATCGGCTTACAAATAATTAATAATCAAGCACTTAAAATACTCATCTATGAGATCTGTAAGTGACAAACTATTTAATATATTATTTTTGTAAACACAAGCAATAAGGTATAGTTCCAAATATTCAGCGGTCTTCGATCACACAAAATATTATTATAAGTCGAAAAAGACCGCTCCACATCAACGAGGTGACTGGACAGTATTTGAATCTGGGTGCTATGCTAGCTTTTATTACCTCTGGCAAAACGTCACCAGTCCGATTAATAAAGCTCTCAATTTGACAAAGATTCGAATCCAGGGTTATTGTTTAAAATCCTTTCAAACTTATATTTAAACTTAAACGAGAATGCATCTGGCACGGCCGAGTTCATTAATTGAATAGACCCAACCAACGCCAAACCTTGAGTTTCAAGCTTTTTGATACTGGCAGGTAAATAAGAGAAATGAGTGCTAATCATGGCTATGTTCTTTTTGATACTAGAGTCGTTGAATGCTTCCTTGCTCTCACAAATTGCCATACCATCTGCACTATCGAAATAATCTACTACACCGTTCATTGGAAGCATATTCACACATGACGACAAAACCAGAGGTCAAATGCAAGAACTACAACACCTTCGCGAAGAGCTTAGACGTCGTCAAACAACAGGCGAAAGTAATATTACTATAAAATACGTTCGTGGTAAACCTTCTATAGTACACACAGCTACCCAGGAGATCACACCTTCAAAAAACTGATAAATTCTGTGGCAAACTGGACGGTTTGTTACACTAATATACAATCTCTCTTTTCTAAGCTACTTGAACTCCAAGCATTTGTTCGAGACAATAATCCAACGTTCGTTTGTCTTACTGAAACATGGCTCCATTCCAACGTGTCCGACTCTTCCATCAATTTGCCTGGATACTATTTATACAGAATGGATTCACCACGCACTCCTGGTTTTGGTGGAGTATGCATTTATGTTCGCACGGAAATCTCGTCGGCTTTCTCGGTATCTCTCTCTTTCAGTCCTTTTGAGGGCATTGACAATCTATTTTTGGAATTGAGGTGCCCAAATTTCAACTTCACGATAGGCTGCATATATCGGCCACGGCCCTGTTTGGGAGACACACACCTGTGCAGTCTCATTTCAGATCTCTTAAATAAAAACACCAACCTTTTCATAGCTGGTGACTTCAATCTACTTGACATTAGCTGGCCTATGTCAACCATTCCTGAATGCAATTCTTCTTCTGCTGCTTACATCGACTTGCTACGCAACTCTAACATATCTCAACTTGTTGATCGTCCAACGAGATTCAGGGAAAGACAAACGCCTAGGGCTCTGGATTTGATATTCGTTAACGACGCCGACTTTGTTTCTAATTTAGATTATTTGCCACCTTTTGGCAAGTCTGACCACTGTTCACTTTTATCTTCTCTCCAGTTCAATATAAATAGTCGTTCTACAACCGATAAGTTTAAAACCATCAAAATTGTAAACCACGATGCTCTTAACCAAGCACTGTCTGAAGTCAACTGGCCTGCTTTGCTTAACAACCGTAGCACCCAAGATATGTGGGACACTTTCGCTCAACGAGTCCTAAGCGAAACGGCTGACAATACTGTTGAAAAGAAGGTATACTCCTCAAAGCCCTGGATCAACTCTAATTCGAGGATGCTTTGTCACAAGAGATCTTTGTGGCAACGGTTTAGGAGGAGTGGCCATTCACAAGATTACGTGTCTCATCGATCCTTTTCTAACCTCCTATCTAGAACGTTACATAATGCCAAACATGCTTATGAACGAAAACTTGTTACCTCCAAAAATAAGAAGAAGCTGTTTCGGTATCTAAGAACAAACCTGAATTCCAAAGTTTCATCACCTCAGATCCGCGACGCTGACGGTCATCTCCACATGGATGCCACCGAATCTGCCAACTTACTGGCAGAGTCCTTTAGTGATGACTTCGTCGATGAGCCTAATGGAGACCTTCTACCGACCACTATCTGCCATAGGTGTCCCAACAGCCTTTGCGAAGTTGAGTTCCTGCCTGAAGATGTATTAATGCACCTGCGAAATCTGAAGACCTCTTCCTCCCCTGGTAAAGATGGGATGACGGCTGCTGTACTTAAAAACTGCGCTTCAGCACTGGCCCTACCATTAAGCTTGATATTCACATCGTCTTTTAGATCTCATACCCTACCCTCATGCTGGCTTAGTGCTTCTGTTACCCCTGTATTCAAAAAGGGCGACAAATCCTCCGCTAAAAATTATCGACCAATAAGTCTCGTTCCTATCGCCGCCAAAATAGCTGAAAGAATCATATTAGATAAGCTCCTGTCATTTGCATTCGAAAATGACCTTATCCCTAAGAATCAGCATGGATTTCTCCCTGGTCGATCAATAATGACCAACCTTCTCCACTCTCTCAACGATTGGACTCAGTATCTGGACACAAAGACTCCTGCTGATATAATCTACTTAGATTTTTCTATGGCTTTCGATCGCGTACCACATAGAAGGCTTCTGTTTAAGTTGGAATGGAATAAGAGGCGAGTTGTTACTGTGGATTAAGGCTTTTCTCACCCGGAGGACTTTCTCTGTGCGCGTCAGTGATAGCCAGTCTCACCTTCATCATGTAGCAAGTGGAGTTCCTCAAGGCTCTGTCTTGGGGCCAGTGCTGTTCCTTCTGTATACAAGTGACCTGCCCGCATTGATTTCTTCCACATGTTCAGCTTATGCCGACGACACCAAGATTTACAATACTGTCGTAAATTCTGCTATGCTTCAACGAGATCTTGATATTGTTTGTCAATGG